CACAAGTGATGCAAAAGTGTGCTACTCCCACATGACTGGGGAGGATTCTTTCCATCTCAGACCTACAGCTCCTCCCTATACAGCCTGTACATTAAGCTGCAGGATTTACCCATTAATGATCCAGGTGACACCACGACCTATCATCTGACTCTTAGTTGAATTCATTGAAGGTGAGTCTATGTTCACATTCATATTTAAAGGAAACAGCAGCATTTCTATTTATCTTCATTTATTCACTCAAAATGAATAACTCTCATGAGTATCTTCAGCCACCATGAATACCAGACGGTGCCAAAGATTTCTGTGAGGTGTCACGGCAAGAGTGGGGCTGTATTCTGGGCTGGTGGGCTTCGCCCTATTCAGCTCATTACTGTAGCAGACTCTTAGAGAAACTCTGCAATGAGAGGGCTCACACAGCTGCTCTAATCCCAGGAACACCCCCTCCCCTCCCAGAAGGGAAGGGAGCCTGCATTCTGCATTTCACCCTGAAACCACTGCCAGAGGACTGGTCAAAGTTCTACAGGCTGCTACAGCTCCACAGCCCTTACTCCACCTTGCAATCCCAGCGCTGTATTGGCCCTCCTTGTCTCACATGCAAAATCAGCCAACTCAGCACTGCTACCATTCCTGGCTCAAGTATCAACAAAAGGACCATCATTGTTATTGTAACAACATTCATTTATCAAGACATGGCTCATCACCACCATAGCTACTTTCCTGACCATGTTGTACTTTTCCCTCCCTTCCATCCTCTGTCTTGTCTTTAAACCATACACTCCTGGAGGCAAGGACCCCTCTGAAGACATGACAGCATTATGCGTGCCACCATAAATAAACCACAGTGACAATTTTCTGCCCAAGTTCACACACAGAAAGATTCCGTGACCCTTAGGCATCTCAATTAACTCACCCGTAGCATTGTAATCATGGAGGGGTCTCGGAGGCGGCCATCTTCATCCTTAAGATTATAGCCCTCAGGTCTTTTATCTCGTTCACTAACTTTCCATAGCTTCACAGTTTTATCTGGAAGAACAAAAGAGCGAAGAAGATGTGGTTATGCCTGACTGGACAGGCATCCTAAAGGGAATGCTTGATGGAAATACTAATGTCACAAAAATTGGTTAAACTCAGGCCTGTACGCAGAAATTTCTGGGGATGGTGGTGGTTTTTGGTACATGTGGACTGCAAGGGTGTGAATGCACTCCCCACTGTACCCCAAGTAAGTGAGGAAATCAGCTCCAGCCTTCCCCTGGCCAGCCCGACCATGGGGGATGGAGGCTTGAGCAGTGCATCACTCCTGCCTTCCCCTGGCTGGCCAGAGCATGCTTCCTTGGGGAACCGTGGGAGGGGGGTGCTTTTGCACCCTTCACACACCCCCAATACAGGTCTGAAACTATAAAAAAAGGTTCCTGTTCCCTTTTCCTTATCTGAATGAGCTCTAAGGACATGGAAAGAATTAGCTCTAAAGAAAGAAACATGGTTTACCATTAGCACTTTTTTCCAGGGATATTTGGCCTTCCTATTGCTGCAAGGCAGCTACTGACATATTTATTACAAACTTAAGAAGACTGTTAGACTAAAACAAACATATTAGTGGACAAATTATTTGAGAAGTGATTTCCCAGGGATCAGCTGCAGAGATTATGACCATAGGTCGCATGATTCTGGATAAAGAGTCTACGATTTATCTAGTATACGCCACAGCGTGTCAGCAGAAACTCTAACATGGGCATTGGCTACAAGAGAAGAGCTTTTTACATTGTTCTGAGAAGGCAGAATTCTGCTGAGAAACTTCATTTATAACTCCTCACTTACAGATCAAATCCATAGAGTCCTTCTCCCACTGCTGCATATCTATACACCTGCCACCAAAGATAACCCCCTACTTTTTCCTCTCACAAGTTGTCAGGTTGAATGGCAATTATCCAGAGAAAACTGACTACTTTCAAGTAAGATTTCCAAATGAACTTAGCCCAAATAAATCATTGAAAACATGTTAAATGCCAACGATATACCACATCTCCACATTCTGCCCTATTGCCTATTTTATTACTCCTTTTATTCAATCTTATTACTACAAACTGACATGATACATGGCAATTCACAGATTTTAAGGTCAGAAGGGACCATTATGATCATCTACTCTGACCTCTTGCACAACATTTCACTCAATTCCTGCATCAAGCCCAACTGTATTCTTAAAAATAGAGAGACTAATATTTATGAGTACTCTATCCATCATGTTTTTGAATATTTTCAGTAATCGGTGAAATCATTAACCATAGGTAGTGCTTGTGCAGCTAATATACCAGTGTTTAGAGAACAATGGTCATTTGTGCATGAACTTTAAAAATACATTGCACACAATGAATGTCAAATTCCACGAGCTTTGTTTTAGTCTATGGGTGGAAACTAGTTCTGGCAAAGTAACCTAGAATGTAATTCAGTGAAATATACAGTAATAAGTGATTAAAAGTTCACACTGAACACAGTGAAGAGAACATCCACAGAACAAAGTAAAATCTTAGAATCACAGAATACTAAGCACCGTCTAGATCAGTGGTCCCCAACCATTTGAGGCTGCCTGGCGCCAGGGGGCGTGGCCTTTCGCCTGCCGGGCGCCAGAGGGCAGGGACACTTGCGCGCCCAGGGGTGGGGCGGGGAGCGAGCCACACCCCTATGAGCCACGTGCCTGGGGCCCGCACCCCCACG